AGTATTTACCCAGAGACATAAAGACCTGAATCCTTGTCCCAAATTCTCTGTAGAAGCTTCAGTCACTCACATCTTAAGTGGATTACGTAACGGATTGTCCTAGTTCCGTGCACTAGAGTAAGGCCCAACAATACAAGAACGAGCCGATGATGCTCTGTTTCCTGTTCCTGTGTGAGTACACCAAACTCTGGCTACTCCAAACCGCGTGCAGTTCTTATCCCAGAATTTCTGCGAGTCGGGATCCCAGGCTCAACTTAGCTGGCTTCTCTAAAAGGGATCCTATGGTGCTGTGATCAAGGTGCCGGCCAGGCAGTGCTCTGCCTCCCCACCTGGGTGATTATTGGCAACGTTCAGTTCCTTGCAGTTTTAGGATTCAGCTTAAGTTTTTGCTGTGTATTTGAGAAGCCACCTTGAATCCTGAAGGTCACCAGATAATTCTTGTATCTCTGTAAGATATACTTAAAGTTCAATTACTAAAATACAACTCTTCACAATATGTCTTTTGAAGACTTTCTCATACTTGGAAAACATGTATCTTTATTTTATTTTTTTTATGAAGTACCAACACTCAAAACTGTTAAAGATTTTTTTCTTCTTTTTATTTATTAATTATAAGGCTTTATCATAGTCTCTTCCTTAAATGAAGTAAACAGCTTTTTCCAAATTAATATATTTTGGATACAAACAGTTGTTAACTTCTTTATGTTTTCAATTTTGTTTACCTACTAACCTGTTGGTAGGATATCTAATGTACCATAGACAGTTGGCAGTGTTTCTAGAAGGATCCTGGTGCCTGTAGAGATTTGAAGAAAATGTGCCTCGTGAGGTATTCTTCTCCCTGCTTCTTTTAGTCTCTCTACATGATTAATGGGAGACTTAATTTTCATGCTCGCCTTATACTCAGTGTGCTCCGTGTGTGCCAGTAGGAGTATTAAGGCTCATGCATAGTGATGAGACTGCACATGCGCACTGAGGAAAGACCGCTAGACCCCAAGGCTACAACTGTCCAGTCCTTTTGCTGAACTCTCTAACCTATAGTGACATTATAAAGAAGACCAATGCAGAATTCACCTTACAGACATTCTACCTATAGGAAGATCACTTTGTGGTTCATAGTTGGGTAAAGGTTCTGTTTAGATTGTCCTACTTTTACCATTCTCTCTTCTGCCTTTTTCCAGCTCTCACCTGGACATGTCTGTGTGATTTGTGGTAACTGAGGAAGTGGGTCTCTAAAATAAGTGGTCACAAGGAGCGTATCCAGCATGGTGTTTCCTGGATACGTAACAAACAGTAGTAGCATCCACTCATCTCAATATGTTCCAGTGTCTGTCTGTTGAAGAATTATAAACATACAAGCCTATTGCAACAGTACATTTATATACCAATTTAAAGCAAAGATTGTCAAATGATCATTTAGACCAAGCCTAGGGAAGCCCTCTGTCCTGCCTTAGAGAATTATGTACCATGACAGTGGCTAGGTGGCACTCAACACTCAGCATCTGGGCTCTATTACATTCTTAAACTTATAAATGGATATTATAAACTTCAATAAACATCAGAAAACACATGTTTCAATACAATATGATTTGAAGACACAGAAAATTTTAATTCTGTATAATTTTCATATCAAAATATTCTTTTGATTTTTTTAAACTATCATTTAAAGATATAAAACAAGCAATAGTTTCTCCCAGTGTCTTCACCTCTATTAGAGCCTTTTAAAATGAGGAGTGGGGTACAGCTTGGTGGCACAGTGCTTGTCTGGCATGCACAAGGCCCTTGGGTTCAATCCCCAAGACAGGAGAATTGTTTTTAAAATGCTTTGGATTCATTAAAACATCTTTTTCCAGTCTTGGAAGGGATTTTAAAAAATGCTGATTTGTGGGTTTCCCAGTAAAGCAAGTTATTTTGTGGTGTTTTCTCATGATGATAATGTGCACTGTGCTGTTGTACTTCTCATCCCAGCCTCATGCCCACTGGTGTGTATTTATAGATTCTAGAACATACAGTGACCATTAGTAAACGACATACCAGCTAATCATGATGTTTATCGCAGGCACTATGGTAGCGGTTTGCATCTGATGTATACTTGTTGCTGAGCTGACTGTACTAAATGACAGCTCTAGGGGTTGGCACACATTTCCTTTAAAGGACCAGATGATATTTTGGGCTTTGTGGGTCATTTGGGCTATTACAGTTGCCCAATTCTGCTGCTGTAGCCATAGATACAAATCAGTATAGCTGTGTTTCAATAAAAGTTTATTTATAGACACTGAAAATTTGAGTTACTTATAATTTTCATATGTCATGAAATATGCATCTTTTGACATTTTTTTAAAAAAGTCATCTAAAGATGTAAAGGCTGAATTTAGCTTGAGTCTCAGATGCTGAACACTGTCCTAGCAGTTGATTGTTCCGAGCTAACTTTCTAATGTAAATTAAAGCTGAGAGTTATTGGAAACTTTTTAGAAAATAGGACAACACATAGACTGAATGTTTTTAAACTTTATTTACTTTTATTTTATGTGCATTGCTGTTTTGCCTACATGTATATGAGAATGTTAGATCTTAGAGTTACACACAGTTGTGAGTTGCCATGTGGGCGCTGGGATTTGAACCTGGGTCCTCTGGAAGAGCACTTAGTGCCCTTAACTACTGAGCCATCCCTGTAGCCTCACTTAATGTTTTTTAAATCAAACCCCTTTCCTCAAAAAAAAAAAAATGACAAATGTAAATAACTTATTTGGCCATTAAGAAGCAGCTGAAAATATTGTAAGTCACTTCTTTTCTGTGACTGCGTATGAGAAGTTGTGATTTAATTGCTAAGTTAAATTGCTAATTTGATTTAATTACTAAGTTAATTTTTCTAATGAGCAGAACTATTATAATATAGGTACATGTTGGACACGCATATTCAGCAAGCACTGAGTTCCTCAAGGCATTTGCATGATAAATCTTCCATTGATGCACCCTGACCTTGACAACCTTAGTCATATAAAATCTGGGCAAGTTTTAATTAAAATGGGCTGGAAAGAAGCCAAAGATAGTAAAACCAAGAACACAGAACAAAACAAGTAGGAAGGTTTAAAGATGGAGTAGAGGGTGCTGAGCATGGGACGTGTTGGACATGTGCACATGGGCTCAGTTCAGGAAAGTACAAGAGGGCTTCCAGCTGACAGCTGAGTGTGCCATATCCCTACTCAAAAAGAGCATACAGAACTAGACCTTGCAGAAAGGTAGGTCAGATGCTACTACTTGTATGAAAAAAAAAAATTGGCAATTTACTAAAGCCGATTTGAGGAGAGATGTCTGCTCAGCTGACTGCGTTCTCAGCCAGTTCAGCGTGTTTCATTCCCAGCCTGCTCCTCACTAATTACATAGCCTTAAGCTGGTTGCTCAGTCTGTCTGAGCCTCGGCTCCTCAGTGTATAGAGTGGGGTCGATGGTTTGTCCTTCCTGACATGGTTAGGCTTGCGGTTATCCTTCCTCACTGGGTGCCCTTTGCTGCTAAGGTTTGACAAACTACTTAGGAATGCACAGTTAGTTTTACAGCCAGAGACAGGAGCGGATCTGATTCAATTCCACAATTCCACCTAATCTTCAACCAAGAAAGTTATTTAACTTCCCTATAAAATAAGAAAACGTCACAGTTTCATAGGAAAGACTGAATCAACTAAAATCAGAAAGCAGTGGTTTTTCTTACTTTCTAAAGACTTCGTACCCACAGTGAGGTGTTTTCAGAATCTCCTGTAGAACCTCACAGGCCAAGCAGGAGTTACTGGATCTTAGCTTTTAAAAATCACTTATAAAAAAATTACAAGGCTAGGTGTGGTGGAACACCTTTAATCTTACACTTGTGACGCAGAGGCAGGAGGATCTCTGTGAATTCAAGGCCAGCTTGGTCTACATGGCCATTGCATGCCAGTCAAAGCTATATAGTGAAAACCTGTTTCAAACAAAACAAAATAGAAAAAAAACATAGGTATATTGAATAATAAGAATAAATATGTTTATATGCTAAACAATGAGCTGAATATATATATAAATATTTAATAAATATATAGCTTTTGTAACAACCATTCACTATAGATACCATTATAGTTTCATTTTAGAAGAAAAATCTACTTGGAAAATACTTGGAAAGTTAAGTAAGTTGTCCTGGGCAACATAGGAAGGAAGTGATGGAGTTGAGAGTCTGACTCTAGACTGTGCTTAGTAGCTTTGCTGGAGGCAACTGCTCGCCAGTCCCTTTGCTGTGAGGTCTGTCAAGTAAACACTGAACCAGTATCTGCTCTTCCTCACCTCCCGGGTGAGCGAGCAAGCATTAAAGTGAAGACTGATGGAATTCTCCAGCCAGAGAAGGCAGCTGCTTACTACACCAGATACGAAGGAGAACTTCAATATAAGACTTTTCTAAGTCCTTGATAAATTAGGCAGTTACAAATTTAGATTCCCAGAATAATATAATTTTGACATTGCCTCCATCTTTATTGTGTTTTGTCCTCTGTGCCATAAATAGACTAAACTGAATCCAGATGAAGACATGACAGTGTCCAGCTGGTGTTCTAGTATGTTTCCCACAGCATGGAACACCGTCCGACACTGTGCATTCGGTTTATTTCCTCTACCCCACCTCACTAGTGCAAGTGCTGCAGTAGATGAGCCACTTCTGCTCACTTCCTTGGTAAAGCTCTAGTGTTTTAGATAGTACATCAGAGATGTTCAAAAATACCCTACAGTCATGAGTGAATAAAATGTTTGTGTATGACCAGCAAAATGGCCCAACAGGTAAAAGCTCTTCCCACTAAACTTGATGACCTGAGTTCCATCCCCGAAAACTACAAGATGGACGGCAAGAATTGATGTTGGTTATCCTCCGACCTCAGCACATACTGTTAGACACCACCACCACCACCCCACCCCCCACCTAAATAAATGAATAAATAAATAAATAGGATAAATTGTGGAAAACAGACATTTAAATGCTGTTTTTTGTTCTAGCATGGATTAGAAGAACACGAAAGACTCCACCTACTATGGAGGTAAGAGTGCATGGGAAATATTGAAGTGATTTATGTTTCTAATGCTATTTTTCAGCTGAGAGCTTGTACTACTAAAAATACATATATTCTTGGGGAAATATTAATCAAAGTATTAATTTTACTCTATAAGAAGTAATTCTTAAGTACTTCTAGTAAAATAATATAATAGCATTGCATAGTAATAAAATATTATACAATGAAAATATATACACATTTCCTCTTGTATTTTTAATTATACTTTTATCCTGATAATTTCATATATGCATTCAATGAACTATAATTATATACACCTTCCTGTTTTTCTCCTCCAACTACTCCATATCCCCCTCCCATCCTGCCTCTCTCTTGACTTTTTGTCTTTCTGATTTTCTTCTCTCTTTTTTCATAATCCACTTAGTCCTTTTACAATTACCCATATGTGCTTGGTTACGAAGCCAGCCATTTGAACACAGGAACCTTACAAAGGACCATCTTCAAGAGAGAATGAGTCTCCCTCCTTCCGCATCTGTCAAGTGCCAGTAGCTTCTCGTTACGGGCCGGGACCACGGGGTGACAGTAGCTTCTCGTTACGGGTCAGGACCACGGGGTGACAGTAGTCCATCTCTATAAGTATAAATGTGAATATTTTAGAAGGCATTTCGGCTACATGACTATAATAAGTACATATCGTATGTAACTTGTCAAAAACATGAAGAACACACTTTAACAGGGGGAAGAAAAAAACATTTTCTAAGCCAGACGACTGGACTACTGGCCACTCAGAAGGCCTCGGCAGGAGGAAGCCTGGTTGGAGGCCACCCTGAAAGCCTTGGGGCCATCAGTCTTTAAATTGTTTAGAAGAGTACATGTTTGAAGCCTAGCAGTCTGTTATGAGCTCAGATACTATGAAATTACTGTTTCTCTCCTGGCCAACTTGAAGGATGAAGGGATCCGTTTCTAGTCCAGGTCTTGGGGTGCTCTAGCCTGTGGGAGGTCAGCTTCCTCCTGAAGCTTCCTTTCCTCACCCTGTCCTGCTTCACCTTTTCTGCCTTCCATCCTCCTCAAAGGAGTGCCCTGCAGTCTCTCAGGCGTAGTGCTTCTTCCTGTCTCCGCTGACAGACTACCTTCCTGTATCTAATTCCTTTTCATTGAAATCCTAGGATGCCTCTCTGAACCTTTTTCTCCTCAACTTCTTAACTCACAGATTTAATAACTTCTTTCTTGTGGACCCTGGCCTGGACACCTCAATAGGCCCTTGGAACTTAGTGTTCAAATCCACTGTTTCATTTTTGTATCGTAATCAACTAACACAGAGCTTGATTTGTTATTGTGAGGTTGGATTTTATAGACAGATTTGAGAAATGAGCTTGAGTTTCCATCCAACAATTATAGATTAACCTTGTAAAACATATTTCCAAGCTGAACATTGCCTGCTCTGTTTTCAAAGAGGTTCCTATTCAGCTACTGTATGTCAGTATGGCTCAGCACGCATTCTTCAGTGCAGTACAAAGTGAGCTCTATTTCACAAACTAATGAGGTAGACTCTCCCTGACTCTTACTCTATTAGAAGCCATTAGTAGTAGATGTTTAAAAATATTATTCTTTTCAGACTAACTGAATAGTTGGAAGCATAATACAGTCTTCGGTTTGAAAAGCGGTCATGTTTATTGCTGATTATTGACAAAATGCATGATGATTCAGGAGTATGTTTACAGACAGTAAGAAAGAAAGCTACAATAGCAGTCTGCCTTCTTTATTTTTAATACGTGCTTCATGAAAAGGAAACGGGAGTTCAAGGAACCAATAGAGACAGATCAGTCAGGGGTGCTTGAAAACTGTGCTGTTGTGGACTGAGAGGTCGGGAGATGGGTAGGTGCTCTCGGCATGGCTCTGCCTGCTTACTGGACCATGATCTGAACTCTGGGTCAGAAGCTCCAAAGACTCATTGTTGTCTAGGCTGAAGGTTGTTTAACTCTGAGCCACATGGTCTTGAAAGAGTTACCAGAACTCCAAGTACTGAATTACAGTGGGAAAGTATCACAGTGGGGACAACGGGAGCTTGGTTAGTATTCAGATATGGGGAATGAGTGAATTCAATGCTTAATTGTTCATGCTTATTTAGTGTCACCTATTCTGTCCACTTTACAACTGATACAGTCTGACCCATAGCAGCGCACGCGCTTGCGAACTGTTATTGTTACCATTGTCTCTCTCCATACAAGGCAGAGACTGATGGATTGGAACCAAGAAGTGTCAGGTGGCGGCTAAGGCTTCTACTGTCGGGGACAGTGTTTATCTGGCTTGTCTGCCAGCATCTGTCTCTCGAGTCTCCTCTCCTCTGCTCCCCATTCTAAGTGGCATCCCTCTTGTACTGTTAGGGCGGTTGTATTATGGTCAGGCTGCTGGCCCTGCTGCTTCTCTTTAGCTCTCCATTTTCATACCTCTGCTCTGGCCTATCATATGTCAATTCTGCAATCTAACATTCAGAGAGGAAGATTGCTTATGAATTCTTGAGGCCTATTTATTTCAATGCTGTCTCCAAATAACCGATATTTATTGAGTTCTCTGTGCTCGGTATTATTAGGCATAATATAGCCCTACTTTCCTATTGACTTAAATTACAGAGATGGAGTATATGTTCTTGCTAAAAGTAGACACCCCTCTTATCCCAAATCTTACATTTTTAGGATTATGGTCGAAACTTACAAGAAAATTATAGCATGTTCATACTCTGGGGACCAGCACCATTGACTAAGAATGAGTGAAGTAAAGCTGATTATGAACATGGGTAAATCTTAGAAAACATGGAATTGTACAAACACCAAACCACAGGAGATTCCGTTTTGTGTGCCATTTGTGTAAACTTGGAACTAGGGAAAAATAATGGTATTCTTAAGGTGGGGTGTTGACATAGTACTTCACACTTATGAGTCCAATGGAAATGACCGCAGCAATTGGTAACAGCTTTGACAATGCTGTCAGGAAGTAACCCAACATGAACACAGAACTCCAAGTGCTCAGTAGTGGGCAGTGTCCGGAAACTGAACATGGGTGACCTGGTGCTTAAAACCAGGAACTGATTGGAAAACTTTTAGATGTAATTTGCTGCTGACCATTTAGTAGAAGAAACAATAAAGTTAATCATTACCATTTCCTTCTATCAGAGTCATCATTGATTCAGGAAGAGTCCTCTACAGGTACTAAAACTCTTGGTTCCTATGCTCTAACAGGCCTCACAGTCTGAAAGCATAGCACCATGAAGTACTTATTACTTACAAAAGGGGAACTAGACCTTCTTACCAAATAAATCTGGCAGGCAGAACCCTAGCCAGATGGTCAAATATTTTGCTAAGCCATACAAAACTTATGTTATGAGTGCCTTCTTGTTTGAAGCATAGGATATGGCGTCATCCATAAAATAATCTTCCAAAATGTGTACCCCTAATATAGCATGAGAAATCGACCAGAAAACCTAAATTAGGAGACATTCTATACACCTTCAGACCTTAGTGTCACGGTCAGCTAAAACCCCATTGGGGTGGGACTTGGCTGTGAAGGATAGTTAAGGATAACTGGTAAAGTTGAGGCCAGTGCCATGTATTAGATAATAACATGTATCATTACTAAACCTGCAGAAAAGGATGCTGGTAAATTCTCTTTGTGGTAGTTTACACAGTTAATGTCTCCTTTCCATCCAACTGGAAATTCCAAGTTCATACTTGTGAAGGAGAAAACAGTCCAGTTAAAATATCCATGCAAAATAATGTGAGTGTTGAACATCGATCTGTAACTGTTGGCTGTTGGGAAACAAGGGTGGGGTGACTCATTTCTGGTTAAAAGGAGTTAACTCACAAAGCTTAAATCTGAAGAATGAAGGCACGATGTAGTGTTTTATGGCAGCTTCAGAATGCGTAAGAGCAGAGCCTGCATGTAGCTCTTCAGCAGTTCTTTGACCCTTGGTTTGGCCTTTGCTGTCAGCGTGAAGGGCAGGTGAGCACTGGGTTAGAGCCCGTGCTGGGAAGGCTTTACTAGCACACTTGGGCCCCCACGTTCTTCCCTCATCCTGAAAACAACCATCCAGACTCAAGGAAAATGTGTAAATTAGCTGCTTTGAGGGAAGGGATGATAATATTTTTCATGGCAAACGTTTTGTGATATTAGTCCTACAAATTTCGAGAGAGGGAAAAAAAAGAAGAAGGAAGAAGGGAGAAAGAGGAGGAAGAGGAAGAGGAGGAGGAAGAAGAGGAGGAGGAGAAAGAAATTGTTCTGTTTTGAAAAATAGGCTCTTGCACTGTAGCCCAGGTTGGCTGTGAACTCAAAACAGTTTTCCAGTCCCACTCTCCTGGTTTCTGGTATTGCAGGGGTGAGTCCCATGCAGAGCTACACATGAGGAGAGCTGACCTAAGCTCTGTGAGCCAAACTATTCTGTAGTAGACTTAGTAGTTACTTCGAACACTCTAAGTACTGGTAGTGTGGAAACAGTTATAAGTAGCATATCTGATTGTGGTTGGGTCCAATAAAATTTTACAAAACAGTAGGTCAATTTTCACATGCTCTCTGTATATGCAGTCTTACACACACACACACACACACACACTATACATATACACCTAAGCGCCCCTGGCCTGCTGGTTGTCTTTGACCTCCTTTACATTTACTATTAAAAGTGTTGACTTTTTTAAAGGAAGGCTTATCTCATCACAGAGACCATTAAAGCTTGGATCTCACCTGAGGGAGAGTTCCTCAAGAGCTAAGTAGAGACAGAGTTTCAAGAAAAATGGTCAGAGCTGGAGACATTATTTTTATCCAGGCCATGAACTTGCAGCAGTCCCCAAGACTAGCACCGTCCACCTAGCTAGCTAGCTATCCACTTAGCATCCTGAAGTTAAAAACCAGAAGTGTGAAAGTTGTCATGGGGACGCATAATAACACATTTATTTGAATTTTAAAATTAAACCAGACTTTTTCTGACAAGAGTAAGTCAGATTTGGCTGATTGGGTTTGACAATCAGGACTAGCTT